TTGTTATAAACCTAAACTCACCCTCAATTGCGTCGTATCATAACTGAAAGACGTTTTTTTTCTCTTTTTTGGAATATGATTGATAGTTTTCATCTCCTTAAATTTAATTTTAAATTGTCATTTTTGTTATCGAAATGTTAATTTTGACTCAAGGTGATTTCATACAAAAGACACACCAGACATTACATCCAATTTTGACGAAATTCATGTCAGTAGTACTGTGTCTTTCTGAAATTGGAAAGCATTCAAAGGAAAACAACAACCAGCTGCAAAGCATAATTCATTCGCTTTTGAAAATGATTCTGAATTGATATGTTTTGGGGAAGCAGTATATGTCAGTATATGCAGTTTGCGATGATGATGTTATCGCACATTCTTTTTTGTGTATTTTAATAAACTTTGTTGGTTGTTGGTGATTTTTTCAGTATGTCTGAAACACAACTTCGATGTGCTTGCACCAAGTTGTCTGGCGCCAAAAGTTCTGCTCATTCAAGAACTTGTTTTGTGATTGTTCTTTGCGACCAATGCTGAATAAAGTTATTTTGAAAAATGAGTTGAAAAGTGCTGCCTCTAGGAAACAAAAACAAAACTATTGGATGTTGCTAAATTAGCGACAGCGAAAAACACGTAGAATTTTATCATGAAACAGTAGAGATGTGTTTTCTGGCAAACGCTAGAAATGAGGGATGAGTTTGATTAATCATTCTGGTTTTGTTTCTTCTGTCCCTTTCTTTGCAGATGAGCACTTTCGACTGTTTTTTTTTCAGTAAGTTAGGCAAAAAAGGAGATTGTAATAAATACGTTCATGAATTCATTCGTAAATTATCTTGGTGATGTAGTTGATCAAACGCTGACAAATTAATATGTGAAAAATTATTTGTGTAGCATAAACACTTTGCAAGCATGTCAAAAAAAAACATTTAGGACTAAGAAAATGTTTTTTGTAAAAAAAGTTTTTTTTCTTGCTCTTTATTTCATCCAGCTGCCTTTCTCCTCAAGAATAATGAAAAAATTGGTCGTCTCTATTGAGAAATTGGACATATAAACCTAAAGCAAAGGTGTGAATTACAGTTTGTCTTCAGAATTGAAAACAAAATAAAAAAATGCCGTGATTTTATAAAATCATGATCATTTAGCGATGTAATATTGCCGCTATACAGAATTTTTTTTCATGATGTTTAATTAAATTGGAAACAGTATAAAAGAACATGTAAATAAACTTCTCTAAGAAGCATCATAAAAAGGTGGAGTTTATTGAAAGGTTAATCATTCTTCACCGTTGAAATCAAAGTATGGCAGCCTACGGACATTTATCTAGTATAATCCTAGTTTCGCCCCCAATTGCGTCGTATGATCACTGAAACACATTTTTCTTCGTTTTTTTAAAATTAATTGATGCCTTTTTTTCTCTTTATATGAAGGTAAAAATTGTTCATTTTTGTGTTCCAAGTGTTAATTTTGACTCAATATCGTTTCTACTAGAGGCAATTAGATATTACATCCAGTTTTGACGAATTTCAGGTCAGTAGTTTTGTGTCTTTGTGACATTGGAAAGCATTGGAAAAAGGATAACATCGACCAGCTGATATTCATAAGTTCTTTGGTTTGGAAGATGATTAAGAAATGATCTGTTTCGAAGTAGCAGTAAAGGTCAGTGTATGTCGTTTGCGACTGTGCTATCGCACATTCATTGTTTTTTTTAAAATTGTTGGTCGCTGGTAATTGTTTCAGGAATAAAAAGTGACATTTCTTCTGATGAATGGGTTGTATACTTACATTTAATTCATCTAGCTATTTTTCTTCACCGAATATTGAGATATCTAGTAGTCTGATTAGAGAAAAATACAAAATTGGAAAGAAAAACAACGTAAAAAAAATTGAATCCCACTTTAGATTCCGCATTGAAATCAAAACAAAAAAAATGCGGACATTTTTTTCTTCTTTCTTGAAGTCAATTGTTGAAGTTCAATTCTTGAAGTTAATAGTTTTTACTATTAGTATTTACTAAAAAAGTTCATTCTTGTGTTCATATTTTAAAATTTGACTCCAGGTTGGTGCCTACAAAGTAAAAACTAGACATTTTATCCAGTTATATGGAGCTTTAGATCAATAATTTTGTGTCTTTGTGACGTTCGAAGGCATTCAGTCGAAAAAACGACCAGCTGATAAGCCTTATTCATTCATTTTGAAGTTGACTATAAATCATCCTACTACACATTTCATTGTTTTTGTATTTTAACAATTAAGGTTGTGGCTGAACAAAACGATTTAAGACATTAGCTAAAATTGAACGAAACTTATCCGTGAAAGTCTTATATAGCCGGTAAGTAAAGCCATCTGGTCCAGGCGAGCTTTTCAAATTCCGTTTATTCATAGCCAAGTGATTTTCATTTTCTGTAAGGTAATTATAGCAGTCATTCTCATTATTTTCGAGTTTATTTTTTGATAAAAAAGTCATTAGTAGTTGATCGGAGTCTGTTGTAAAACTATGTGAAAAAATATTTGAAAAATACTTTGGAAAATGATTAAGAGTATCCCCATCCGTATGTTAAACGTTCTGATCCACTTGAGTTTGCTCTTTGAGTTAATTTTGTTCTTTGAGGTCCATTGACTACAAAATTTGGGCACCCCCTCAAAAGTATATCTGAGAATTTTCTGAATTTTTCAAAAGTCTGAAAAATATTTCTCCTTTGAATTTTTTTGAAGATGTTCCAGCACCGAATGATATTTTTCGAACAAACTTGAAATCGGACCTTTTCCGCTGTGAATGCAATCTCTGAAAACATCTTCATGAGACTTCAATAAATTGAGTTCTTTCTGATCTACACGCTTTTTTTTCTCTTAAATAAACTTCAAAAGGTCACTAAAATTATGCTTAAAGTGTTCGTAACTACTTGGTGCTCATTTTCAAAAAAAATTTTTAGGTCTTCATCAATTAAGCTGGACTTAATTTTGAAAAAGGTCTTTATTTAGTTTCCAGCAACTAGGGCCGCGCTGATACAAATTTGATGGCTTAACGAGAAGTTGTGTCAGAGCAAATGATCAAAGATTGATATTTGAGTGCTTTGCGTAGAGTCATACTCTGTTTCGAATTTCACAAAAACATAATCTAACCGCGCAAAAGTTTTATGTTGTTTGTCATAAGGTGTACAATCACCAAAATCATTCTTGAGTACGAAATCAACAAAACCAATACAATCAAAAATTTGTTTTTGAGTTGGGTAAATCGTTTGATACGTGCATCATTTAAATTAAGTTCTGAAGAACTGTTAACATTGTCAAAACACAGCGCATTAAAATCTCCTGTCATGGTTATTTTCGATTTATTGGGTAAAAATCTGATGCTTTATTTCGGGGGATTCAGAGTAGTTTGGAAGGAATTTGGGTTCGCATAAACGTTCATAACAAGCAATCAAGTTCGACAAACTTCAACAATTGAAAAGCTGTACTTGAAGCAATTCTTTTAGCAGAACTGAAGTTTGATGACCAAAATATTAAGAAACCACCAGAATTATTTGAGCACGGTATGAAATCAAATTAAACATTATATTTATCCAGTAAACTCAGATCTATATTTGTAGGTTTGATATTTTTGCTTCCTGAATGCACAAAATGGAACTGGGCGATTTTTTTAATACTTGGCATTTTTGGTAAGTTAGTTTAATTTAGCTGGATTTCCTATGCTAAAAATGTTAACGAAAAAAATGTCTGGTTTTTCGCACATGGAAATTTTTCTAAAATTAACTTCCCTCCAACCAAGTCTTCTCCATAATTTTTAGATTTCACTTTAGGCCTTTTCTTCCAAGAGATTGGTGAAACTGACCAAGAGATTGGTGAAATTTCGCGCTCTTTTATTGTAAGCATTCTTCTGTCAGAGGAACATTTCTGTTTGTTATTTTCGATATTTAAATTGTCTTTTTTTCCCGCAGAATAAGAATGAAAATCTACGACCTGATTCTTGAGAACCTTATCGTTTTGTTTTTCCTCGCTTGCAATTGCTGCACTTTTGTTTTAGATTCCTTAACCAAAACTCTAGATGGTGGTGTTTCGACATTCTTTCTTTCAATATTTTCGCTGCCATTACAAAATTTATCGCTTGTTGTTTCGTCATCGTTTTTCTCGTCGCTGACGTTATTGGAGCTTGGTTTTTGTGGGGACTGATTATTTGAATTGTTGGTTTTTTGGTTTCCGATGTTGCAACAATCATCGTGATGACCTTTTTCTTGGCGTCGAGGGATCTTGAATTTTTGACATTCATGTAGTGGAGGTATGTGAAACGAGATTTCTACACCTTCCCAGATTTTAAAGGCATCCATTCTCGTTTTGTAAGACCGGTCTGTCAGCTTTTTCCCTTGTGCTTCGTTTTGTTATTTAACTTCTAAAATTGCACTTTCCGTGTAAACATACTGACTCGCTTTAGTTACGATACAGGTCTCTCGTTGGATTATGGGGCTATGAATTATGTCTTCTGGCAATGGGAGAATTAATTTCGCTTCGATATAGTTGCATTTATAGGGCAAATTCGTTAATTTGATTTTGGCTAGTTAAGGGTAAATGTTCTTTGTATTATGAGACCTTGGAAAGCTTCCCATGGAAAAATACCGTCCTGTTAACTAGATTGGTTCCTTCGATTTTGATGCTGGTTATAAATTGCTCTGCTTCGGGGGCAGCAATAGCTGTCAGTGTATGAAGTTTGTGGTCATCTTTTGTCACAGTTATTGTTTTTGAGATTGTCATCTTCTGTTGCGTTGTTGAGGGGAATTATTTCAGTATATCGGAAGCACAATTTCGATATGCCTGCGCCAGATTTTCAGCTGACTTGAGAATGAGGGGATGATTTTGATATTTGGATTGATTGTTTGGATTATTTGAATTATTTGGATTCTTTGGACTATAATGCATGGAGATTTGTTTTGCAAGGAAAAAATCAAATTTTAATTTATAGTTTTTCGAATATTTAAGCGATTCAGAACTATCCTGCATGGTTTTCTAAACAAAACAAGTACCGAAAAATTTATTAAAATTTTAGCCGTTCACAAATTTACCCATTCACGTTCAGTTCCATGTAGTTTGTTTGCTGTTTTTATTTACGATCCAGCAATATCAAAGAAGTATGCCGTTATAATTTTTTTTCGTTTTCGTTGTTGATTTGTTTGTGTTAATTACCTATCATTTTAGGTGCAGTCGATGGAGAAATACGAAAAAATTTTAAAAATTGGAGAAGGCTCTTACGGCCATGTTTTCAAATGTCGGAACCGAGATACGGGTCAACCTGTCGCTATTAAGAAGTTCGTTGAATCTGAGGATGATCCCCTCATAAAGAAAATTGCTTTGCGTGAAGTTAGAATGTTGAAGGTTGGTACAAGACGTTTTGATATATTCAAGAGATCGCATTATATCTAGAGAATTAATTCAATAGTTCAATGTTTCATTCAACTTTCTGTTCAATTTTTGAATTTCAATAAAACGTTAACAATATGTATATTTTAGCAATTGAAGCACCCGAATCTAGTTAACCTCATGGAAGTATTTCGTCGTAAAAAACGTCTGCATCTGGTTTTTGAATATTGTGATCACACAGTTTTAAACGAATTGGAACGCTCACCAAGAGGGTAAGTTTCACCATCTGAATTCAATCGAAGCTCATAATTCAGTAGAAGTTTTGTAAATTTAGTCTTCGATGGAATGAAAAGGTCATCAGAGGGTTAAAAGATCTGGCCGACCCAACTAAAGTCAAAAAATTTTTGAATTGAGAATCGGTAACATTTGGAAATAAGTTTTTTAAAAATCTGGTATTCTTCAGATGAATAAAATCTTGGAGCAAGCACAATGCTAAATATCTGCCAAAAATTAGTTGAATGCCGTTTTTGTTTCAGAGTTCCCGAAAATACCACGAAGCGTATAACATACCAAACCTTACAGGCTGTCGCATTCTGTCATCAACACAACGTAATTCCTCTCTAGGATATTTATTGCAAAAAGATTTCAGAGAAAATAATGGTTATTTTTGTTTTAGTGCATTCACAGGGACGTCAAACCAGAAAACATACTCATTACTAAAAACGGTCAAATAAAACTATGCGATTTTGGTTTTGCTAGAATATTGAGTAAGTTTCTTTAAAACTCTCAAAATATAATATTTGATTTTGCATTATAACTATTGTGATTTTTAGCTGGACCTGGGGATGATTATACCGACTATGTTGCGACACGTTGGTATCGAGCTCCTGAACTTCTTGTCGGTGATACGCAATATGGACCACCGGTCGATGTCTGGGCAATTGGATGCGTTTTTGCTGAACTACTTACAGGTGCACCGTTATGGCCTGGCCGGAGTGACGTGGATCAGTTATACCTCATCGAGAAAACTTTGGGCATGATTTCTTTTTTTTTTGCAAAAAAGCAATTTTTGCGATGTGTCAATTATATTTGTGTATTGCTACAGGTGACCTGATTGATCGTCATAAAACAATTTTTTCACAAAATCAGTACTTCAAAGGACTTTCAATCCCCGAGCCTGCTAAAAGAGAACCACTGGAAGAAAAACTGCCTCTTATTGTGGGCAAACCAGCCATGGATTTTCTTAAAGTATGTTGCTCACATTTTTTGAGATAATAGTATTAAGAGCTTGCAATAAGTCATCCATGGTGTATAATTTGTTTCTACGTTTCTTAGAACTGCCTGTACTTGGACCCATCTAAGCGCATGACCTGCCAACAGTTGCTTGATCACCAGTACTTCTCAAGTTATTGGGATGGTGCGGGTGGAGTAAACAACATGGATAGTCATAGCAATGAACGGAGCAAAGGAGGAAAAAGAAATAAGGAGGTTAAAGACAAAAGAAACGCTATTCACGTGAGTTGAAAACACGAGTCATATTTTCTAGATTTTTTCATCATGCCGCGATTGAACAACAAAATCAGATTGTTTTCAGGCTTATGTCTTTAACTTACCGGTATAGTAAATTTTCACGTTCAAAATCTGCTGGACTACAGCAAATTTCATTGACACTTTTATGCAATTGTCTGAAAGTTCTCATATCTGTTCTTATATAGATAAATGTACAAGACTAATCAATTTCAACTCAATTCCAATGGATAATTCTGTTTCATATGACATAATATCTAACATAGATATGATGAATGTTTTACAAAGATTAGTTGCACTTTTCAACCTATTCATGTTCTAATCGCATGAAGCGAGTCAATTTTTTTTCGAAAATAAGGTAAGGTGTGCATTTAATTTTTTTTAAAAATAGGATATAAATGTATATATCTGAGAAAAACCAGCAGAAAAAATGGAAATATTTGCTAGTTATTCTTTTTGCGGTTTTAGATTCAAATAGGTAGAGTAAGCCATAAAAACTGTTGGCTGGGAGTTTTCTACCTTTTTGTTGCTACTAGATTGTGCATAAGAATCATCAAATGGGAAGGAACCGTGGACTTGGTTTCTTTTATAGCAAAACGAGGTGCCGCAAACAACTTTCGTAATGACTTGAGAATAATAATATAATTGAGCCTTTTCGCAGTTGTGAATCGGGAAATCAAAAAAGATCTCTCAGTGTAAAGAACAACGGATCTGAATGTTTCCGTTTTTCAGACACCTAAATGGAAGAATGAACGGGAGATTAAACTTTCATTTACTTCTACTGCGTTTCAAAAATTATTTAAGCTATTGTTGCCTCATTTTTACAACTTATATCTTAATTCAACTCCTCCCACTTTTTTATAAAATCCTTTTTGAATTGCTTTATTCAAATTACTGTATTCGGAGTATTATGAGTCACCTAGACATCAACCGTTAATATTCAGTGATTTGACCACCTCCTAAAGTGGGTGGCAAGGAACTATGGCGAGGAATATTTTTTAAAACTTTAACCCAGTGAAAGGTACCCCAGCAAAAGCGCAAATGGTCAAATTGATATCTCATCCAGTCTCGATAAAACTTAATCTGGATTTTTTTGATTTTCAAACTAAATTAGACAAAAATAGAGTGGCTGAATACCGCATTAATGTTATTTTACAACAAATCTTTTGTAACGGTGTTTTAGCGATTATTACACTTGCGAGAGCAAGTGTAATAACTTTTCTTAAGACGTAATAACGTATTGCTGTAAACAACTTTTCTTGCATTTTTCTTTTCTTTTTTCACTTCTTCTCTTCTCTTAAGATCTTAGCTTTTTTCTCTTCTTATTACCTGTTCTGTTTGAATTAAAATTTTCGGCCATTTGATTCTCTGCTTGTCTGTAGCCGGCTTAGTTATCACATCTTGGAATCATTTGGGAACCTTGACTTCGTATTTCCTTTCTTTTTTTGTTTCCTTAAAAAAGTTCCTCGGCCCAAATTATTTCGGCCTATTTTTTATCAGCTTGATGAACTAATTTTGGGTCGTTTTGGGGGAAACACGATCGAAACACTCTTCTCCGCTTTTTTCAAGTTGGTTGTAAGTTTACCTATCGTTTTGTTGAAATTACTTTTTTTTTTTCGTTTAGAAAATTTTTTTCACTTTTTATCAGAAATTTTTTTCTCAGAAACTTCTACTGATTTTCAAAGCAAGGAGTATCAATTGAAAGATTTCTTACTCCTCTGTGTGCCTGCATACTCCTCTAGAGTCTCTTTTACTTAAACCTTCTGTATACAGCCTTTGAAAAAGTCTGTGGGGAGTATTTGACCCCTATTTTTTTTCGTTTTCTCAAAACTTAACCCTCTCAAATCTGAGTTTTCGGTTTCAACGAATAGAATCTTTTCAAAAACATCCCCTGCATAAACAGCTGCGCGACAAAATTTGTTTACATCAAAATGTTATCGCCCTCGGTAAAGTCAAATTTTTGACTTTTTAACCTTTTTCTTAAATGTTTTGAATATTCTCGAAAACTACCCCGCCGGGTTCAATTCAAAGAACGGATTGCGGGAAGCTCATTTGCTTATGCGACTACACGCAGTTTTTTGACACCAAACGTTATGGCCTTCGCAAAAGTCAAATTTTTGCATTTTTTTTAACGTTTTTTTTTTTTAATTTTTGCTTTTCTCGAAAACTGCTTTCCAAATATGAGATTTTGGTTCTATCGAAAATAGAGGTTGCGCGAATCTTTTGTATAAGTGGAGTCTTCCTTTTTGCACACAAAAAGCTTTGGTTTTTAGGAAAAATCAAATTTTATATTTTTTGACCGGTTTGTCGACTTTCTCGCTAACTATCCTGCCAAATCTGAAATCATAGATTTAATCGAAACAACAGGATGTTAAAAGCTTAATTTTATAATTTTGTATGCCCAGCTTGCTTGCGAAAAACGTCATGGCCTTTAATCAAGTCAAAGTTTTGAAACCTTGACGGTTCTTTGGAAACTTATTGACTTTAAGCGAAAACTACCGGGCATTGGTCAGGTTGTGTTAAATCGAGAAACCCGGTCGAGAAAAAAAGGGATTTGGAATGTCTTTTAACCGTTTTAAAGAAACTTTTTGAATTTTCTGAAAATGTACACAATTAAATTTGAGATGAAAAGTTCAAATACATGAACCGGTTGCGATAACTGTTTCTCCATGGGAAAATTGATTATCTCAAATTTGTTTTATTCTTTGCACTTGTTTTAGTAGAGAAACAACTAAAGTTTTTTGCAAAGTCTAATTCTTGAATTCGCCGTTTTTGTGCCGCATCACTTTATCAAGTTCATTTAATTTCAAACGCGTATCTCCAGCTGGTCGCCTAGTTGTTTTTCATCGAGACTTATGAAAATTTTGGCTCATCTATTTTTTTTCAACATCTAATTTTTTTTCGATTTATGCTTTTTTATGTTTGTGTTGTTTGGTAAGTGGCGCGAAGCTCCCTTTCGCCTCTGTGAAACATTTAATTCCTTCCCAGTTGTACTAGGGATAAAGCAGTAGCCTTTGCATCATAAGGTCTGTGGTTCGAGTCTCGGTCGGACCTTTTTTTTCAGTTTGCATGCATTTGTCTGACTTTCTTTTGTCTGCTCTTGTTTTGTTCGCTTAGCTGTCACATCAGAGATTTTGCTTTTGCTGTAAGCAACTTTGATTGCAGCTGCAAGTGCAAATGTTATGCATTCTAGTTTCAATGGAAGACTTGCAAGAGTTAAAAACAATCTTCATACAATAATTTTTCTTCGGTTCAATCTGTGTCTGCTCAAAGATTGTCGGCTTAGTTGCCACATAACTGATTCTTTTTGTTCTGTAAGCAACTTTCATTGTAGATCACACAAGTGTTGGTCACGGTAGTTCAAGTGGGACTTTGAACTTAATACATTTTTTAAATCATTATTTTTGCACACCTAGTTTTTTTCTAACCTTTTTTAATTTTTTTTTTATGGCTGTGTTATATCGCTTCGCCTCTGCGTTAAATCTAATTGTTTCATTTTTTCATCGAGTCCAATCGCTTACTATTAAAATCGGGATGACTGAAATTGGTCATTCTAGTTAAATCAGTAATGTTATTAACTTACCATAACAATACGAATCTGTTCCTTAATGTTTTTTTTTACCAAAGTACTGTACCTAATGTAACAGAATTTTCCAAAAAAAAACAAATGCATTTTTTGTCGGTCGCGTGTCGGCTTACTTGATATATGTTTCATTAGTATAAGCTTTCTAAAAAAATTGAAACTTTTTTCATTCTTTTTTGAGCACCGTAAATATGATTTTGAAAGATTTTCTTTTTATGCCGACCAAAATTTTTGTTAATAGCGAAAAAGATTTAGAAAAGATATCAGTTTTTTGACCATGGCTTCTGGTTAGTTTTTCGAATTGGTTTTTGTAAAGCTTCTAAAAACCAACACTTTCTTCTCGTTAAGTTTGTGCATGGTCGTTGTAAGTCTATTTCGGATTATAACAAATCGAAATGTTTGAAATATGCCAAAATTTTGTGAAAAATCTGAAATTTTCTGGAAAGATTTGTATATCCTGTGGTAATTTTGTAATTATTTTTGCTTGCGAAGGCATGTAGTGTGTTTTGCATGGGAATAGAGGGTTCGGTTATTTTTGGTTTAAATTTTATGACAGTATTTGAATGTTGGTGTTTTTGTTCAATTGATAACTTTTTTTTCTGTGATGAAAAACTATTTATCAAATAAATGTGTATTAACTTCATTTTATATTCAGAATGATATAATTGGATTGGTTTCTTAATATTGCAGAGGTTTTTTTTACATTTCTACGTATAATTTTTAGTGGTAATTTCATGAAAACTTTCGCTTCTATTTTTAAACACTTTTCTTTGTTCGTTTTATAATTTTGTTTTTCTGTTTTTCTCTACATTATTAGAAAGCAATACAAGTAGGCTTGTATATGAATGTTTTTACGGGCCTGCAATTAGTTTTGGGTTTGAAGGATTTGTGCAAAGTTTTTGGTAGATAAAAGAAGTTTTGGTTTTCTTCATTCATTCAATTCTTGTCTCATCATTTTCATTCTCAGTAAAGAGAGAAGAATTTTCTGGTTATATTTTGAGCAAGATGTATGTTATAAATTTTATTTTGGCAACTAATTTTCATAGAAAGTACAAAATCGTCATTTTTTGTAAATTATTTAGCGGAAAATTTTTTCAAACGAAATTTAATTCCATTTTTCCTTTAACTCGTATGAAAAGCAAGAAATGGAATGTCTATAATCAATGAATCAAAAGATTGATTTTTTCGACGTAATTGTTTTTGAAGAAGTTTAAAAAAAAATTTTTTTAACTCAAATAATTTAGGTAAGTTGAGTGTATTACTGAAAATGTTGCTTTTTTATTTGCTTTTTCTTGAGAAGGTTTCAATTTTAACATATTCTTTTGTATCGCATGTGGTGTGGAGCTCGTATCTGTGTTTCAAAAGTGGTGCGTTCTGTGATAGTACGAATTTTTTTTCCAACTTGCATCGCGAATAGGTGCTACTTTTGGTAGCATTTCCCCAATGTGAGAGTGCTCTTTTGGGGAACTTTTAAAGCAAAAGGCAAAATTAGCAGTAAAATACCA